AATACAACCGGCCCCTTTGTTTACCTTCTTATTGCTTCTATACTGCCCGTCAGAGCAGCCCGCCGTTCGTTCCTTCTCACTGCGTAATGATTTATCATTGTTGGCCAATATGGTGTCGGCACCAACCCTGCGAGACGTTTAGCGGAGATGTCGTTTAACAAACATCCCAAGATATCTAGGAAGAATAAGGGTGGGGGTAAAGAATCAACTAATGGGGGCCATAACCAATTTATATTCCTGTTCGTAATATTCAAACACATTTAGATTTTACTCGCTCTGCTTTAAAAATATATTGTCCCCCCAGAATACACGATCGTCGCTAATAAAATAGAAAAACCCTAAACTGACAAATATATTAACAATGTCCTGTGGATAAAATGCTTCAGAAACCACCCAGAAAAGATTTTACAGCAAAAGGACAAGAGCCCCCGTCAGCGCACTCCATACCAGAAGTGAGAACACACGATGAAACGAAATATCGAGAACATGGGTTCTTTTTGCTCCACAGAGAAAAAGTAAATTTTGCGAATGAAACAAGTTAAAAAATCATGGACCTTGGCGGCCTGAGAAGAAGAAATCGGAAGCTGAGAAAGATGTCGCTCCATCGATCGAATCTGCTCTTCTCGAATTTCAAGCAGCGATTCCAACTGATTGCACTTCGTTTCCAAGCTGGCCATGCGACTGCCACCATCACGATACACGGTAGTTGCATTCGTACGATCCATAAGTCGTCTGATTGTTTCATCTTTTTCAGCAAGTTCACACCGGCAATTTTCGAGTTCTGCCTCAAGTTCGGCAACTCGAAATCCCGAACCATTCTGAGGGCCAACCTGATGAAAACGTATTCCTCACAATGTCTATTCCGACACTTTCGAAATATATAAACACTGTACCACCCGACCTGAACTCTCAGCCACGCACAAAATTTAACTTGAGGATAGACAAGCTAACCATCTGTCTCTGTAGCGCTGTGAATTTTGCTGTTTCCTCTTTCCGCAGCTGCCTTTCTCGTTTAAGTTCAGGGCTCCAAAACGTTTTTATAGAATTCATTGTTGAATTCAGCTTTTGCATAGCCATTTCATAATCCTGCTTTAAAAGCTCGTAGGCATGAACGGCCTGCGCATCAGATGGGCCATATGTCTCGTATTCGCATGGCTGCATACTGCAAATTCTCACGCATAACAAATCAAACGTCCCCCTAGTACAGCTTCGGTACCTCGACACCCAATGTGCATAGTCTTTTAAAATTCCTGCACAAAAAACTCCGACCAAATCACAGTTGTCAGTAAAGCATAAGAGAATCGACAACAGACAAGAACAAAGAACAAGTGCCGAAAGAAACTGATTCTCACGAGAACGAAGCAAAGCAAATAAATAGCAACGCGCACTAGACTAGCCGGTGCGATCATGCGTTTTGTGCAATTCAGCCCATCGATCAACTGCTTATTGATGATTTCCACTGCTTTGTACTTTAGTCTATGCAAAAATAGTTCAAACACTGAAAACAGTTAAATTTCACGCACCAGCGCATGAAAGCTGAATTCGAAACTTGAAGGGTGAATATCTCTCCGTGATTCCCGAGTTAATAGTTTACACGTCAAAATTTTCACGAGGCCGTAAGTGATACTAAAGAGCGCGGGAAGCTGAATTTGAATGGGCAAGGTTGAGCGTGGGCAGGAGGTCATTAACCTAAAATTTCAGCCTCCTAGACTCCATGGTTCCTGAGATATTAACTTACCCATAATTTACCCGTAAAAATTTTCACAGGGCCGTACATGTTACCCGCGGGTAAGGGAAGGCTGGATTTGAATAGGCAAGGTTGAGCGTGGGCAGGAGGTCATTAACCTAAAACTTCAGCCTCCTAGATCCGTGGTCCCTGAGATATTAATTTACCCGTAAAAACTTTCACGGGGCCCTAGAAGTTGCCCGCGGGTACGGGAAGGCTGAATTTAAATTTGTCACGTCACCCGTGGGCGAGGAACACTATACCAAAATTTCAGCAGCCTAGGTTTTGTGGTTCCCGAGTTGAAAGTGCGGGACAAAATGTGGGACACACACACAAACACACACAGAC